AGCGGGAACCGGTCCGCATGTGGGATCCGAACCCTCGGGCGGGAGCGCCGCCGCGCTTCTCAAGCAGCGCACTTATCCAGTGCGCCACTGGGCCGGCCCCACATTAGCTTTTAATTAGTTTTTTCCATGAACTTTTTGATGTATCCTTGTATATGACATTTTATTTCTTTTTTTTTTTCCTTTTGTCTTTTTTCGTGTCCGGCAATGGATCGCAACCCTCAGTGTTGCGCCCGTACCGGACCAGGACCACAACCCTCGGTGCTGCGCCCGCACCTCGCTCAACCAGTGAGCGGGAACCGGTCTGTATGTGGGATCCGAACCCTCGGCGGGAGCGCCACCATGCTCCCAAGCGGCGCACTGTAGCAGTGCGCCACCGGGCCGGCCCGACATTTTATTTCTTAAGCTGAGTGATGGGCACACTAGTCCCCCTTAAGCTATTCTCTATTAAATTTTTTGTATTACTTTAACAAATATTTACTGAGTACCTATTATGTTGTCAGACATTGCACTAGGAAAATGCAGTGAATAAAACAGTAAAATTACTGCTTTCACAGAGCTTAAATAGCTTAAGCTTACATTCTAGTAGGGGTAGTAATGAACAGATACAATATACAAGGATACTTTAAAAAGTTCATGGAAAAATAGAATTAAAAGATAGTATGAATCTTTCCATAAACTTTCTAAAGTATCCTCATATAGTATGTCAGATGGTAAAAAAATACTACAGAAAAAAAATAAAGCAATGAAAGGGGTTTTGGGATGCTGGAGCAGTAGTTGATGTCATTATTCTAAATAGGGTGGTCAGAAAAGGTCTTATGGATAAGGTGACCTATTACAAGTAGAGACCTGAAGGAGGTGGGGTCTGAAATATGTATGACTGAATATTTGTATTATATTTATAACACTTATGTGATTATACTTTGTATAAGAACTTTATGGGGCCGTCCCGTGGCTCACTCGGGAGAGTGTGGTGCTGATAACACCAAGGCCACGGGTTCGGATCCTATATAGGGGATGGATTGTTCGCTCACTGGCTGAGCGTGGTGCTGACAACACCAAGCCAAGGGTTAAGATCCCCTTACCAGTCATCCTTTTTAAAAATAATAAATAAATAAATAAATAAATAAATAAATAAATAAATAAATA